TCACAGGTTTTTCACTGCCACTTTAACAGCAACTTCTTCCCTCTGTTCCTGGAGCACCTGCTGTCAGACCAGATCTCGGTCTCTACTGGATCCTTCCTGCTTGGTGAGTCTCAGGTGGGACTGGAGGGAGCAGCCGGGTTCGCACCTGGCTCGAGTGTGGATCTGCTCTTCCCAAACTCTGGGTGGGGGAGAGGTGTGCTCACGTGCAGCTCTCTAGGCTGCAAGACTCACACATGCACACACCCCACATGCTTCCCTGGGCCCTCCGGGTCATCCTTCCTGGGTACAGAAGTAAGTGGGAGCCTTTTTAAGTGATGATGAGCCCAGTGTGCTGGACTGTGGCCCAGGCTCCGTGGAGGTATTGTCCTGAGTTTTGCTGGCTGCAGATAGTGTCCCCAGGATGCTGCAGGGAACACAGCCGTCAACTGAATCCCTTTCTCTGTGGCATATGGACTATTTCCGTGAGATACATGGGCATTGGTCCTAGAACCTCCCTGGGAGGTTCTGTGTGGGCCAGGTCTGCTCACGCTGTCCTGTCCCTCACTTCTGCTCCCGGGCTGAGTCCCAGCCCCTGTACGATACTGGACAAGTCTTGTCTTCCTGCCTGTGAGGCTGAAGGAAGGCGGCTTCCCTCCGTAGGAAGGGTGTGTGCTGACTGCACCCTCCCGTGCTGCAGATGCAGGGCACCGTGAATACAGCCTTGATCTTGGTGTTGGTCTGGGGGCACATGGTGGATACTGAAATTCCCTCAAGCTGTTTGTGCCTCTGTCTCTGCTCAGGTGTTTCCTACATTGCCCCCCACCTCAACAACCTCTACTTCCTGTCCCTCTGCCGCCGCTGTGGGGTTTACGCTGTGGTGCGAGGACTCTTCTTCCTGAAGCTGGCACTCAGTGTTGTCATGCTCCTGGCAGGACCTGATCAGGTGTATCTGCTCTGCATCTTCATTGCCAGGTAGGCAGGCAGCGCTGGCTTCCTCTGCCACCTGGGAAGGGAAATGGCTTGTCTCTGTTGGACAGAGAGGGGTGGGAGCCAGGGTCACACAGAAGCCACGTGGCTCCTGCCCTGTTAGCCACTGGGCCAACGTGTCCTATCCCCAGGCCTGTCTGTGTGGGTCAGGACTGACCCAAGGCATCGCTGCAGGGCACACACATGGCTTATTGCAGTGTTCCCCTTCTGTAACTAGGGCTTCTGAAATGCTCATTTTAAGTGGGGGGGAACCTTTGTCACCCTCCTTCCATTTTCTCTGATTTCTCGCCCACTCCCATCATTCCTTGATGCCCCTGTTCATTCAGTGTTTGCCTGTTGTTCTGCAGCAACCGGGTGTTCACAGAAGGGACCTGCAAGTTGCTCAACCTGGTGGTGACCGACTTGGTGGATGAGGATCTGGTCCTGAACCGCAGGAAGCAGGCAGCCTCGGCGCTGCTCTTTGGGATGGTGGCTCTGGTCACCAAGCCGGGTCAGACCTTCGCCCCCCTGATTGGCACCTGGCTGCTGTGCGCATACACGGGTAAGGCTGCTCCTGGGGAAAGGGGCGGGGCGGGAGAGGGCAGGCCTGTGAGCTGGCGTCCTCCGCCATGCCCCGGGTGGGTGCAGAGGGCTCTTCCAGTCACTAAGCTGTGCCTGGTGTCTGCATCTCCAAGGCCAGTTGCTCAGGGAGAATGGACGAGGCTCCGTCTCTGCCGTCCCCAGTCTCACAAACCCTTCTTTGCCACCAGGCTACGACATCTTCCAGCGCAACCCCTTGAGCAACGTGGTGAGCGCCCAGCCGAAGCTGGAGTCTGCCGCAGCCCTGGAGCCAACTCTTCGCCAGGGCTGCTTTTACCTCCTTGTCTTCGTCCCCATCACGTGTGCGCTGCTGCAGCTCCTCAGCTGGTCTCAGTTCAGCTTGCACGGGAAGCGGCTGCAGATGGTGAAGGCTCAGCGCCAAAGCCTGACGCAAGGCCGAGCGCCGGAGGTTAAAACAATCTAGGGGTGTCCGAGCCCCCGGGGCTCAGAAACCCCCACATTTACAGTTCAGCTGTGAAATGCTGTAATGCCCATGTTTACTCGTTCCAGGAGGTGGTTGCTGAGGAAGGCAGGAAGCTCAGAGTGAGGAGCCTGGGGTAGATCACTTGGCCGCAAGAGCACTGTATCCAAGCCTGTCCCAGGAAGCGGAGGGCTGGCTGCTCGTCCCCCAGGGAGGTGCTGGGGTGCAGTGCGTGCTGGGGACAGCCACATCCCTAGCACGGTCCTCTGCCCTGGGGAACTGCAGCCTCTGGCTGAGCAGGAAGGGACCACACTGGGAGTCCTTCCTTGCTAGACCCCACAGCTTTGGGGAGTGGAGAGGGAGGCTGCTGAGGGACCAAGTGACCAAGGAGGGTGACTTCAGGACAGCAGGAGCAGGATGGGAGCATCCTCAAGACCTTTCCCAACAGCTGGTACAACCCTTCCCACATGCAGTGCTGTGGTTCTTGGACCAAATCCGCTTTTAGGGATTTCTTGTTCCCAGGACAATATCCCACATAGCCAGGGTCTGCTGGCCGTGCTTGTTTTACGCTAAAGCTCCCTCCTCCCGGCCTTGCAGAGGGAGGTGGTGCTGGGCTGGGAAAGGTCCTGGGCTTGAGCTGGGGTCAGAGCCCTGAGCTGGAACGTCTCATCTGGCATCCTGCTGCCCGTGTTTATCCCTCTCGCCCCTTGCAGTCAGCGCTGTCACACAGCTCTGCCCTGAGCCCTCTCCCACGCTGCCTGGGGCTGCGGGGCCAAGGTCAGGGAACCAACTCCTAACCCAGCCGCTGGAAGTGCCTCCCGCCCAGGGCCAGCCTAGGTGACCCAGCGAGGCAGCCTGGTGCCTTCCCTGCTTCAGGGGGAGGGCACAGTCAGGAGGAGACCCCAGGTCTTGCTTTTGTGCCTTCAATTCCTCTTTGGAGCCTGTTTGACACAATGCTGGGCTGTCACAGGGTTGAGATTTTACCTCTGTGAGGAGACAGACCCCTCAGCTCCTCTGCACTTGGAACGGTGCCCCCCAGTTCGGTAATGTCATCGTGCACCTGAGGAGGAGAGCAGGTGCTTTGGTCTCCCTGGTTCTGGGAGCAGGCAGGTAGTCACCAAAGGGATCCCGGCAGTGGGTGTGGGGACGAGATGTGCCAAAGCAGGTGCTCTGCCCTGTGCCTGCCTGCAGGAGGGGGTGTGCCGGCCACGTCTGAAGGCTGTACATGCTCAGGGGTGTGCTGTTCTTCTGTGCTGTTCCTGTCTAGCGCCAGGCTCCCTCCGCGGTCTCGGCCCCCAGCCTGCCACCTTGCCTCGGGATACGGCCGCCTTCTGTCTTGGACCAAGACATTCCTGCCGCGAGGCTTCTGTAGCTCTTGATGGCTCAATCATAAGTTATTTGTGTGACCTCTGACAAAGTTTGAGAATGATTCTTCATTTCATAAATTAAAAATGATCTTCTTCTGTACTACGTGGTGGTTTTCCTTGGGGAGTCGTGCAGTACCACAGGAGCACAACTGTGGTTGTAGGGGAGAAAATGGGATTGTTCCTCTCCAGCAGCGCTCTGGGTTGGGGGGCCTGCCTCACTGGCAAAGGATGAGCAGGCTGGTGTAACAGCTGCCTTTTGGGGGGACGTGAGTCCCTGACCCCTGCTGCTTTGGAAGGCCCCAGGGACTGGATTGCCCTGTTCCTTTGACACCTGCTTCTGGGGACAGTCACAGACCTGGGTGCTGTGCCACCCTCCCATGCCCCCACCTGCCCTGGGAGCAACGCTCGCCCTGGCAGTTCTCTGCACCAGCTCTTCTCAGGGTGAGCAGCATCGCTCCGTTGCTGATGCTCAGCCAGGGCTGCCCTCGCGCAGGTTCCCTACCCCTCGGCCGCCCTTCACCTGCCTGCAGTGCCCAACAGGGCTCGGGGGCGATGGCTGCGAGGAGAGCAGCTCTGGACACCACAGCTGCAGCCAGGAATCTCCGCCCTCAGCTCAAGCACCGCATCAGGAAGGCAATCCTGGGCCAGAGATGGCATCTCCGTGCAGAGCGGCCAGCAACAGTTCTGCACAGGCGAGAGAACACGTGTTACCTCCCTACAGCTGCAAACATGGTCAGAGGAGGCCAGGAGGCTGAGGGTTGTATATGAACGCCTTTATTTAAGTATGCTGGGCACCACCAGGCAGCGCGGTTGGACAGTGTGCGGGGAACAGCCAGGCAGATGGAATGAATGCAGGGACGGAGAGGGCACTGCCCCTTCTGCCAGGCCAGCAGCGGGGCTGGGAGGGGGCAGAGACCACTGGCACTGCAGGGGGGGGCACGTGTAACTGAACCCAGCGGGGTTTGCTTCTTCCCACTGTGGCAAACCAACAGATTTTCCCGCAGAAAGCTGAGCAGAGAGCTCTTCTCTACCTGACAGGTTCCTGCTTCAAAACCAGTGTCCCCTCTCGGGCAAGACCACCACACCCGCCCACCTCCAGCCCCCCCGCACCTGGGTGCCGCAGGGGCAGCACGCCTGGGTTCGCCTCGGCTGGGGCAGCATGGCTCCCGCAGCCCCCCCAGCTCTTACCCCATCTCTGCGCCGTGGGGCGACCCCGAGGTGACACATGGCAACGAACAGAAAGGAGGGGAACAGGGAGGAACTGCCACCGAGCAACTCCAGCGCCGCTGCTACTGCCAGGTACTGCAGAGAACTGACACTGGGAAAAACAAAAGCACCAAATAATGCGTAAGAAAAGCCCCAAGGGGAAGAGTGACACCCCCCCAGCGCAGAGCAGGTCCACGGGACTGCCCTC